TAATAAATTCCAAGAATGATGGAGAATTGGTGAATAACTCAGGGAGTGTCGTCAGGGCGCTAACCCCCCCAGGGACGAACAGAGCTCCTATCGCCCCATGCAAGCTGGCAGAGCCAGGTCTTTAATCCTTTCCGGAAAGCTGGGAGGGTAGGGGCCCACCCTTAATCCCTTATTAATTTCTTTAATTAATTAATTAATTAATTCCTCTGTAGAGTTGTGTCCAGAGGCCACCCAAGGCTACTTTTTCCAGTCACTGCTCCCCCTGTCTCTCTCTCTCTCCTGCTCTCCTTCCCTACACCTATAGCCCCTGAGCTCCTCCGACAGCGAAGTTGCTGATATCGACCCCATCAGTGGAGGAGGAGGAGGAGGAAGCGACGTTCCCGGGGAGGAAGGCTCTGCCCCAACTGCGGGTGTCGGTGCAGCAGGAATGACTATGGAGAAGGCGGAGAGTGATGAGTCGGACAAAGGAAGCGATCACAGCAGCATGAAGCGGAAATCATTAGCCATGAAAGTGAGTGATTTCAGGGTGGCGGAGATTGGTAGCTCCTTGCCTACAGCAGGCTACTGTGTTGCGAAGGGTGTTTCTCCCTCCAAGCAGGTTGGCTTATGGTGGCAATGGGAGCAGCACAACTGATGGTTCTCAGTTTTACATCTTGACTCCAAGCCAAACTAGAGTTGTGGTTGAGAGCCTGGAGGCTGGTGAGGTCTGGATGGGGATGAACAAGGGTTTCGTCTCAGCTGGATAAAGTAGTTCTGTGTGTTAAAACCTCCTGAGTCCAGAGAAGGCCCATTTTTAATTCTGGGGGCCTTGCTTCTCCAGGCAGAATCAGTTCATAATTTGGGGGTCCTCCTGGACTTAGAGCTGTGGCTGGAAGAACAGGTGGCAGCGGCAGCCAGGAAGGTCTTTGCACATCTCCATCTTGGAGCCAGAGGTCTTGCTTGCCATCACTTGTGCCTTGGTCATCTCTTGTATGGACTACTGTAATGCATTCTACGTGGGACTGCCCTTGAAGACCTGCTGGAAGCTTCAGCTGGTCCAGGGAGTAGGGCTTAGGTAATTATGGGTGCCAGTTGGTTTACCCATGTAATTCTGCTGCTTTGAGAACTGCACAGGTTACCAGTTTGCCTCTGGGTGCAGTTCAAGATGCTGGTTGTCACCTTTAATGCCCTTCATGGCTCAGGACCTGGGTATTTTGGGGGCTACTTCCTTCCAGTGGGTTTTGCCCATCTGTTAAAATTTGAAAGAGGAGATTCCCCGAACCCAGGGGAGTGTCATCTGCAGGGCCCACAAAGTAGGGCCTCCTCAGTTGCTGATCCCCTTTTCTGGAGTACATTCCCCTGGAGATTAGATCAACCCCTGTGCTCCTGAGTTTTCAAAAAGCACAAAAATATTTGCTTTTCTGGCATGGCTTTGGGGTTTGCAATGTCTTTTTGGTCCTCCTGCTGAGGGAATATTTGTTTGGGACTGTTAACCAGTGGTGCCTGGGGAATTTTAATTATCTATTTCTGATGCACTTTGTTTTAATCCAGTTACTGTATGGAGTAACTATGCCACTCAGAATCAGTTATGATTGGACCAGCATATATGCCAAATAATTAGCACTCCTGTATTGTGCTCCGCTTGGACCAGAAGGTCCAGCTAGTGCTTGGTGCTACAGTCAGGTAGTTGGGTAGAGTGCCTGGCTGTGCAAGAACGATCCTAGCCTTGAAGCAGACGCACTGACTGTGTAATAGCTAGTGCCTGGGGAACACAAGTGCGATGGTTTATCACACTCCTGTGTGCTCATGCACTTCTCAAGTGCAATGGCTGAGCAAGATGTGACACAGAAGGCTAGACTAGGCAGACTTTTGGCTGGACCCAGTTCTTTAGACAAGGTTTTGTTTGTTGGGGCACGGAAGACCCTAACCAGCTTGGCAAGATCGCCTTCCCCTTCAGAGAAGTAGATGGTCAGAGGTGATTCTGTTGCCGAGGTTATAGCTTGCATATTATCCTGTTGCAGTTACTCCCAGGCGGGTCTGTTTTGTAGTCCTCCTTACACTTTTGAGCACTTTCTCTCCTGGTATTCAGAAAGAATATTTGGAGGGACCTCTTGGCATCTCTGTGTGGGAAAGCTGAGAACGGATCCTCTTTTTTCCTTCTTTACCCTCCGCCTGTGAGGACTTGTCCTTTCAGAGGAGGTGGCATCTAGAGCTAAAAAGGGGGAAAATTCTGAAATCTCTTCCTGGGATTTATCTGAAGCCTGCTCCATCCTATTCAGCCTCTCACAGCCTCTAGGCACCCTGTCAAGACTTCCATTACCTTTCCTGCTCACCCCAACCAGTAGATGACCACTCCAGTGTTTAATGATACTGACCAGAATGGGGGAGAAGGCTGACCCCTAAGGCGCTCCATATTGGAGTGTCCAAGAGTCTGACCTCTCCTCTCTCACTCACACCGACTGAAACTGCCCACTCAGTCAGGAGTAGAACTGCGTCTTGCAGGCAGTTCAAAAGGATTTTCCGATCGGTGGTAGGGGAGGCTGCTGAGAGATGGACCCAAACAGGGCTGGCTTGCTTCAGATCCCATTAGTTGAGCCATGTCATCCACTGAGATCTGGAGAGGGGGCCTTTCCTGTCATTGCAGCTGCAGGTTGGAATAACATCTCTTCCCCTCCCTCCAGAGACCTGCATGGCCCCCATTTTGCCCACCTTTAAGCATCTCTTAAGAAACTGGCTGTTCCTTTAGACTTTAGGTTCAGAGGGTGGACGGACCCTGTGAGTTGGTGGGAGATATGGCAGGATGGTTTTGTTCCCTTAAGTCACGGCTTTGTACCTGTTGTTGGTGGTGCGGTACTGTTGTATGTGAAGCTGCCCAAAGTTGTTTGGAGTGGGGCAGCCTAGAAATTTAACAAATAAATAAAACAGGACAAAGAGGGGTACATTCCATCTAAGCCCCACCTAAGTCATCTGCTAGAGCAATGTTGGGAACTTTAAGCTGTGTGGACTTCAACTCCCAGAGTTCCCCAGGCAGCATGCTCTGGGGATTGAAGTCCACATAGCTTAAAGTTGCTAAGGTTGAGAAACACTGTGCTAGAGTGACCAACATGGCCTCTGTCCCTTGCCTGAGCTCGCATCTGCATGAGGACTGAAAGGGTCTCGATAATTCATTCCCTCTGTCTGGCACCCCCCTATCGTCTCGACAACTTTCCTAAAATGAGAAGATTGGAGACTCGTTGATAGTTGTCCAGAATGCCTGGGTTGAGGGTTGGCTTCTTAAAATAGGGGTGCCCTACTGCCTCCTGGAAGGCTGGTGGCATCACCTCCTCCCTCAAAGAGGCATTACAACTGCCTGTACCGGTCCCTCGTCCCCTTGTTCACATAAGGGACGAGGATCAAGCTTCCCAGAAAACCCCATCCAGTTCCTCAGAGTTCACTGCTTTAAAAGGATCCCAGATCACCTGGCAAGGTGACCTCCCCATCCTCTCCTTGGATCCTGCTCAGCTAGCATCCAGCTCTGAGCGAATATAAGTGATGGTCTTCAAAATGCCTAGCAAAAAGCTCATTGCAGCCTGTGGAAAGTTCTTCCAACCTTTCATTCCCAGGGGGGGAAGTCCTAAGAGGGCCGTTGGCCAGCCGTCTGAAGACACACATGTAGAGAAGCACGCTTGCTTGCTTGCTTGCTTGCTTGCTTGCTTGCTTGCTTTCCTTCCTTCCTTCCTTCCTTCCTTCCTTCCTTCCTTCCTTCCTTCCTTCCTTATTTATTTATTTATTTATATTTCAGATTTAGACACCACCCATCTCATGGGGAAGTGACCCTGGGTGGTTTACAGTAAAAACAAATAAATATCAGTTAAAATAGAATAAAAATAGTATAAAAATACAATAAAACCAAATACATACATAAATAATAATATCTTCCGAGATGCTGGTGATCGAAAACATATTAACATACGGGAACATCTTCTTTGCTGCCCTGTGTCAGCTCTCTTATCCTTCTAAACAAAAGAACCTCCAAATGTTACCGCAGTTCCTCCTAAGAGAGGTGATTCCATCTTTTGTTGTCCTTTTTTGCACTTTCTCTCCTATTCTACAATATCACATAACTGTATAGCATTTCAGTGAAGCAGAGATGGAGTGATGTGACGCTACTTGGTAAGTGAGCAGCAGGATATCTGTTTTGACAAGGCTTCCCTCCTTTTAGTCCTTCCAGAATGATTCCTAGTTGCTCATGTTTGGGTTGCACTTTGTCATTTTCTGTTCTGCAGCTGACAAAGCAAAGCCTTCATGGCTCACTAGGCCATCCCTAATGCTCCATCGATTCTGTTATCTTCCTCCTGTCCTAGATGCCGGTAGCGAAACGGCCCCGGAAATCTTCGAGTGACCTTGACCAGGCCAGCCCCTCTCCTTCGGAGGAGGAGAACTCCGAGAGCTCTTCTGAATCCGAGAAGTACAGTGACCAGGTCGGGTTTGTGTTGGTAGAGCCTTAGCTTCTGATAGGTGAACCCCGTGGAGTTATTTTGGGGAAGGTGGAATGTGAAATGGATGGGAGCTTTGATTTTTTTCCAGCCTCTGAGGCATTTTTCCCCCTCTTTTATATCAATCTAGGAATCATTCCACTCCCTGCAGCATAGGTCCAGTACAGTGGTGATAGTTGGAAGAAGTTATTTAGTCATCACAAAACCAGTTCATAGGGGTGAAAGAAAGTTTGTGAACCTTTTAGAACTATCCATGGCTCCTGCAGGACAGTGACCTACAACATGATTAGTCTTTTCAATAGATGAAGATACTCTGGTTAAACAGACAACAAGCAAACGGTATATGGTGCTATGTCATTACTGATTTGCAGTAAGCCAGCATTCACTGACCTTGTTGGAAAAAGTCCCAGGATGGTCAGCTTTCAAGGTGGCAAGTTGTAGCAGATGCTCTCATCAGTGAGGTGACCATCGTGTATGAATTGGAAGGGCTCCCCTTTCAGAAAACAAACACGGTTGCCACCATTGGAGAACACGTTTATGGAAGTGAATCATAAACCAATCCTATACCAATATTACTGTTCCCAGGAACACTCATTCCACAAGAATCACCCTAAGAGCAAGGTGTACAATACTCTGGGAAGTCAGAAAGAACCCCAGGTAATGGTAAAAGATTTATTTGCAAGTGCCCTCTTGCTATGTCTGATGTGGCTATTTTTGAGTCCATATGGAAAACCCCAAACAAGAGTGTACGCACGGGATAAACCACTGCTCTCCAGAAACCACCCATCTCAAGTTTGCCAAGGCCACCTGGATAATCCAGCAGGCTGTTGGAACAATATTCTGTGGACAGATGAGATGAAAGAGGATTTGGGGGTGAACGTTGATGAGAGTCATGTTTGGAGAACACAAAGCCCAGTTTTCCAGCCAAAGAACCTTCTCTAAGCTGTGGCATGTGGTAGTGGGGTTGTCAGGGTCTAGGCTGCTTTGCAACCTACAAAGCTAGAAGGGTCACAGCCATTGAGAAAACAATGAATTATGACCTGGATGATTGATTGATTGATTGATTGATTGATTGATAAACTTGTATGCCGCCCATCTCCCCCAACAGGTAACTCTGGGCGGCTCACAATAACTAAAAGGAAAAAACACCAATCCCTCCATCAATGGCTAAAATCCATAAATAATTAAAATAGAAACATACCTTAAAAATGTCCTAACCCCCCCCCCCCTGTAATTTTTAGCCCTAAAACCTTCAAGATGCTGGGGGGGAACCAACCCCATCACCCCACCAGCCATCTTCACAGATGCGAGCCCCCATCCGGCCCCCAGGCCTTCTGGCAGAGCCAGGATTTAACCCCTT